GGAGATCCTGAAGCCGCCCGAGCTACTTCAGGTCGCCTAGGGGTCTTCTGGGGAAGTGAATGGCAAGCGGGGCGAGGTAGGGAAGAACCCAGTTCTTCCCCTAACACAACCTCCTCCGTAGGCCTCACCGGCGAACTGGTGCGACTTTCGCTAGTCCATCGCTCAAAACTTGCGTAGTATGCGCACTCATGCTCCAGGAGGGGTAAGTGCTCATCTTGAAAGCTCTCCCAGGCCATACATTGCAGGGAATGGAGGGGGCATGGAGCATCCCAGTCAATCCGCCCGTCAGGAAGGCGGTTGGCGGAGAGGGCCTTGTACGCCTCACTAAAGTCTTCATAAGGGTTTGGAGGTAGTGGCGGCGGTTTCACCGACGGCCACTGCCGGCGAGGCAACCGGCTACAGAATTCGTAAGGGTCAAGCCCCCCAGTCATTGGAATTGACTGACTTGGGGGAGGAGGTAGGCTCCGGTGAAGAAAGAGCCGGCCCGTCGGAAAGATTCAGAGAAACAGGAGTTCCTTCAGACATGGCAAGGATGGAGGAAAGGAAGATATTTCATCGCCTCGTCCGCGGCGGCCTGGCGACCCCGTTTCCGGCCAACCACCTCAATTATCCCCAGCGTAGCCTGCGCAAAGGGGTGAGGGTTAGGGGCATAAAGAAAAGGAGTGATGCATAGGAGATCAGGACCAGTACCTGACTGAGCCTCAAAAGGACCATGTTGTCAAGGTCGTCCTCGGAGCCTGCTGAGATACGAGCCTGGTCTTCTCCAGACAGAGTGATCAGAGTCTCCAACTATACGTCCCCAAGGCTTTGGGGCAGGGGAGGGATGCAGAGCATCGTCGAGCGACCCCCGGTCGCCACCTCGTAGGTCACTGCGGGTGGTGAGGGAGGTCGCTCCAAGGCAATGCCCTGAGACGACCCGACGAGGTCGCCACCCTGCATCACGGGGTGTGGGGGGATTGGCCAGCCATGGTACCCGGTTCTTGGGTAGCATCTTCTTGGTCCTCCACCACAATTACGGCCGGCTCTCGAGAAGGACCCTCCTCGCGGTGGGATGAAGAACGCTTGCCCTGGCCCTTCGTCTCTCTCTTCCTCTTCCTCCCTGCAGTGAAGCGACTGAGCAGGAGATCGTTGTCCATCTCTTCTCCTGAATCTTGTAATTCCACTGGAAACAAAGGAAATGGCCAGCCTTGGGAAAAGATAAACTAAACATCTGGGCAAAAGAAAAGGTCACCTACCAAAAGGACCACAGTCAAGACCTTCCTCAGGAATGTCCTTCAGCTGGTCAGGCTGATGCCCCCCGGGGATGTCCCTCAGTAGGTCGGGTTGGTGGCGAAGCTCATCCTGAACAAACTCAAACCCCAACCCGGCAAGGGTTTCCTCTGTCACCACCTCTTTAATGTTCATAACTCCCTTATTGCAGAATTGGCGAGTGATGGACAAAAGGGTGGCATCAGGTAGGGGCATGGGATGCGGCGGAAGGAAGGGCACCCTGAACCCGTGAAAGGAGATTCGGGCCCCGTCGAAGCGAAGACAAAGAAAGGCTTCCAGTCTTTGGTTGACCCCTTCTTATCACTAGCAAAGAGTTTACTGGACCTCTGGGAAAGACTGGCATAGGACGCCCAATCTTTATGGCCCTTGGTCAGTTTGAAGGTGAATATGAAATGGTCCAAGGTCGGCTTCACCCCTGCATCTTTGCACCGGACCAGGTAACCGGCGATGTACCGGTGAGAGTTGGGGACCAGTTGGCACGGGAGAAGGTCCACCACGTTGAGGAATTCGATCAACAACGGGTGGAGTGGGAAGCGCAGCCCCTTCTTCGAAGACGCCAGATGGACCGTGAAGAACCCCGACGGTGCGTCTAGAGCGGTTTGAGTACTGGTAGGTCTCATGACCTCGATGGAGGGTCCAACCATGTCAGTGGCATCAGCGAACCCCCGGTCAGTAATTTGACAATGGCACAACGCCATGATGTTTTCGTCCAATTCAACCCGTGAGCCCTCATCTACCGGAGTTGAGGAAGGGTATTGCTTCCTCAATCGACGCCGTTTGTGGCCAGGCACGGCCGACGGCGACGGCCGGGGTGATGGAGTGTGGCCGGGGTTACGGTCAGAGGCCGATTGACCGGCTTGGCGAGAATTGGACGATGGGGTAGCCAAATCGGAATCTGAGACAATCATGGCGGCGAGAGAAGGAATTGACCTGGACAGGAAGAAGAACGAGTCGGGTGAGCATCGGAGTTGCAGACGAACGGTAGTGAAGAAGGCGAAAGAAAGAGATGGCGTCCAGCGGCGGTTTTTAACTGACAACAGGAAGGAGCTCGTGCCCAAATGTCATGCGGAACCCAAGGAACGGCCCGGATCCCCGCTGGAGCGTCCACGTGGACTTTGCAAACTCCCCACTCCTCCACTTGGCCCAGCTGAGGACTGAGGAGTTGGGGGGCTTATGATGGGCCGATATCTAGAGGACGGCCCAAATGAACCATTTAAACAGCTTCGGGTCAAGCACCTGTGAAATACTCAAGCTGGGCCGGCCCAAGGAGCTGGGCCTAGTTAACCTCAGGCCAAGCGCAGCTGGCAGAGTCAATCCGGAGAAGGAGACGGAGCAGATTGGCCGTTACGGAGCCGGGAAAAGGGGATCGCGCCCTTGGCGGGATAGACTCCGTCGGTTATGCATTACCTTAATTGTTTAGAGCTCATGTATAAATAGAGGGGACCCGAAAGGGGAGAACTCAAGCTAAATCAAGCTAGTAATACACACCCAATTCTTGAATTCTCGTTCTTAATTTTGTTCTTACGATCCGCTCTGTAGACCGGATCATTTGGTGGATTTATTGTCCATCACTACTATTGTTTCATGTAGAGTAGATAATAATTTTTCATCGACAACCTGATGGCGTCAAACTCGATGTTATGATACCATTACTCGTCTAAAAAATCATCCCAATTATTTATGCGCACACACTAGCGAATTTTTAACAAATATTTTTTATTTTTAGAAAAAAAACTCTTTATCCATTCACATAAGTAAATTTTACTCATTGTATACAAAATTTTACCTCTTGAATTTAAAATAATCGCAGTTAAAAATTGTTTTTATTCATGTGTAGGAATTTGGTATGGAGGTGGGCACAAACGAATTTTACTCTCATTTGGACTTGTAATAAGAAGAGTCACAATTGGAATGGGCAACAAGTCAGGTTAATTGTCCTAACCCGAGTTAATTAATTAATCAATTAGTCCAATTAATAATCCTAGTCCTACTTGGGAAACCTTGTCACGCACGTCTATCCTGGCCTGGCCTATATATATATGTGTGCACCCAAAAGCCTTTGTCTTTTACTTTCATCTTATTATTCTATAGTCGACGATAATGGCCGGCGCCGGAGAAGGGATGAACGTGCTGAAGAAGCTCGACGAAGCCAAGACTCAGTACTACCACTTCAAGGCCGTCGTCATCGCCGGAATGGGTTTCTTCACCGACGCCTACGACCTCTTCTGCATCTCCCTCGTCACCAAACTCCTCGGCCGCATCTACTACCACGTCCCCGGCTCCCCCAAGCCCGGCACCCTCCCTCCCAACGTCTCCGCCGCCGTCAACGGCGTCGCCTTCTGCGGCACTCTCGCCGGCCAGCTCTTCTTCGGGTGGCTGGGGGATCGGATGGGCAGGAAGCGGGTCTACGGCCTCACCCTGCTCCTCATGTTCTGCTCCTCCGTCGCCTCCGGCCTCTCCTTCGGCTCCTCCCCCCGCGCCGTCATGGCCACTCTCTGCTTCTTCCGCTTCTGGCTCGGCTTCGGGATCGGCGGCGACTACCCTCTCTCCGCCACCATCATGTCCGAGTACGCCAGCAAGAGCAACCGTGGCGCCTTTGTCGCCTCCGTCTTCGCCATGCAGGGCTTCGGGATTCTCACCGGCGGCACCGTCGCCATGCTCGTCTCCGCCGCCTTCGACCGCGCCTACAAGGCTCCCTCCTACGAGGCCGACCCGATCGCCTCCACGGCTCCCCAGGCCGACTACGTGTGGCGGATCATCCTCATGGCCGGGGCGCTTCCGGCGGTGCTGACGTGGTACTGGAGAGCGAAGATGCCGGAAACCGCTCGATACACCGCCCTGGTCGCCAAGAACGCGGACAAGGCGGCGGCAGACATGTCGAAGGTCCTGCAAGAGGACATAGAGGCGACAGAAAGGGCGGAGCCGAATGCCCCGGGGAAATCGTCCCCGCCATCGTTCGGGCTGTTCACGAAGGAGTTCGCCCGGCGGCACGGGCTGCACCTGGTGGGCACGTGCAGCACGTGGTTCCTTCTGGACGTGGCGTACTACAGCCAGAATCTCTTCCAGAAGGACATCTTCAGCGCGGTGGGGTGGATCCCACCAGCGAGGACGATGAGCGCGACCCATGAGGTGTTCAAGATATCCAGGGCCCAGACGCTCATCGCCCTCCTAAGCACGGTCCCCGGGTACTGGGTGACGGTGGCGACCATAGACAGGCTGGGGAGGTTCGCGATCCAGATGATCGGGTTCACCATGATGACGATATTCATGTTCGCGCTGGCGGTCCCGTACGCCCACTGGTCAATGCCGGGGCAGCAAATATGGTTCGTCGTCCTCTACGCCTTCACCTTCTTCTTCGCCAACTTCGGGCCCAACGCCACCACCTTCGTGGTGCCGGCGGAGATCTTCCCGGCCAGACTGCGGTCCACCTGCCACGGAATATCGGCGGCTTCCGGGAAATTGGGTGCAATCGTGGGGTCCTTCGGGTTCTTGTACCTGGCTCAGCCGCGGGACAAGTCCAAGGCGGACGCCGGGTACCCAGCCGGAATCGGGGTGAGGAACTCGCTCATCGTCTTGGCGGTCGTCAACTTTCTGGGCATTGTGTTCACTCTACTGGTTCCGGAATCAAAGGGGAAATCTCTTGAGGAACTGTCAAGAGACAACGAAGAAACAGCAGCAGCAGCAGCTTCTCTGGAGGAAGAAGAAATGAAGAAGAAGAATCCAGAGCAGTGACAGTCTAAAACCAGTTCTCTTACATTAGAGAGAATTTTATCCCCTTTATTGTTCTATTCATCATTTTCTAGCTATTTGTTAAACTATTGGTAGCCTAGATGATAGTTGGATTCTTTATAATTTCGTACCAGAGTAATTTTTTTAGTGTTCTTAAACTTCCTAATTTAGTGTTTCAAATGTTATTAAAAAAATGTATTTTATAGTTTATACTCTCCCCCGTCTAAAATTGAGAAATATGACTTTTTTTATGTAAAAATACATTATGAAAAACACCCTTCAAATACTATGTATCAGTTTAAACCCAACTTGGCTCCCAATCAAAATTTGAGCTGATAAATACTCAGTAGTACTCTGTGTCTCAATTTAAATTGCATGCTTCGATTACCATGCCAGTCATTTTCATCAATTTTGATGTCACAAGTTGCACTTTTGGTTAATATTAGGCTCCTACTGATTCAATCCCTATAAATCACCTCTCTTCACTGAATAATTGAATAGAAATAGAGCCCAATCCTATGGTTAGGAAGGAGAATTTACAAAATATAAACATAGATACTAATAACTTGGCCAAATACTCTAAGGGTCCGTTTGGTATACGGAATTGATGGAATTGGAATTGAATTGGATTTGAAATTCCATAGGATTCAATTCCATAGAATTGAATTCACCAATTCCAATTCATATTTTGCACTATCAATTCCAAATCCACATAATTTTTGTACTACCAAACACCAGAATTGGAATTGAAGTTCTCAATTCCAATTCCATAGATTGAATTCCGTATACCAAACGGGGCCTAAAGTATTTTACTTGAACAAACATAATCTATTTTCCTGCATTGTCAACACCCAGCAACAGCTCTTCACCAAGATTGAGTAATCAATGTTTAAGACAACCTCTTCCAAAAAGCCCCTAAATTTTGGGGGCACTACCCTCTAGACCGGCCCTGCCCAATGGCTTTGAGAGACAAAAAGGCTATACAATGGTTTCACACTTTCACCAGTAAACCCAATTGAGTACATGAATTTTGCTCTAATAGTCCCGTTAATACCGCGTCATGTTTCTCCACTTGTCCTTTAAGTCAACCTGAACAAAAAGATCTTGGTTTAAGTACAAGCAAGAATATCATAAGACGAATTAACCGTTGCCAACGGCTATTAGCCCGTGTTTGGTTGGTGGGGATTTTTTGTGCAGTTGGAGTCGGGGGTCTCTTGGAAACAGCCTCCCTACTTCCGAGTAGGGGCAAGGTCTGCGTACACACACCCTCCCAGACCCTACTGCAGTGGGATTCAATTGGGTTGTTGTTGTTGTTTGGTTGGTGGGGATTTCTGAGGGGAGGGCAACAGAAGAATGAATACTTGTTTTACTCGTAGTTTATTCTTACACTTGGACGTTGAAAATAAAATGAAGATGAAAAAGTATATAGAAATACCTGAATTAATTAAACACATACAGAGTAGTTATTTTGAAGTCTGAGGCTGAGAAATAGGAAGTACATAGTAAAACAAAAAACAATCATCCCCTCTATTTCCTTCCAGGATTCCCCAACCAAACAAGCCCTTAATTTCTCACCTCAGTCCTGTCTTCAAATATGTCGCGATAAGCATGTAGAATGAACTTCCAATTTCCCTTCCCAAACCTTCAAATAAAAAAAAGGAAATGGTTGCCTGGATAGATATTATCTTTCAAAGTTGAAGGAAGAAAAGAGCCTTATTCTTATTCTACTAATTCGAATAGATAAGGGGCTAAAAGCAATCACATACTTTTGGACCCCTGTCCTCAATGTATCTTCTTCTATCAAACTCCATTTTTTTATCTTTCTCCTCTTTGTCAAATTCTTTATCTGATACTCCTTCAAAGGAGAAGAATTCCTTTTTTGGGGGCTAGGTAACTGAGGTCTTCTTCCATGACTGGGTGATCCTTCAGTTGAACAATTTTCAATGGAATCATCCCACTGCATAGCAATAGAGGTTAAAAAATGCATCAGCAACTACTCATGCAAACACATCTAATCTGCAAAGTCATAATTTACACACATAAAATTGAATAGTCATAATTTTTTTCTAATTAAAGGACACGAACCCTACAGCCTACACATAGTTTACTGTGATTTTGGGCGCATAGTACCGAACCTGTTCCAACCCCGTCTTAGAAGTTGATGGATTTTGGAGTTGAGAAAGTCCTTTTTTATTTCAATGTTTGACATATTATTTCCCTACACCTCTCTACTTTTTTAAGTAGGGGTAAGGTATGCATGCGTACACTGTACACACACCCTCCAGAGACCCCACTCTCTGGAATTTTACTGAGCCTCTTGTTATAGTATTTCCCATCTCTTTGGAATTTTACTGAGCCTCTTGTTGTGGTATTTCCCATCTCTTTGGAATTTTACTGAGCATCTTGTTGTGGTATTTCCCATCTCTTTGGAATTTTACTGAGCCTCTTGTTGTAGTATTTCCCATCTCTTTGGAATTTTACTGAGCCTCTTGTTGTAGTTTACCCAATGTCCGTTTATGGGATATTATATTGAGCTGCATTGTGTCCGACATTATTTTTGTCTCAAAATATTTGAACTTTTGAAGGGTGCAGACGTGCAGTAATGCAAGATCTAGGGTCCATTCCGTTCAACATATTTTTTGCAGCTTATTACTTATTCTAATTAAGATCATATCGAACGAAATCTAATCAGATCACATCACATCCAATCAGATCATATCAGCTTTAAATATAACTACAATCTGATCAGATCATATCTTCAAAAAATCAAATCAGGCGAACAAAACACAACCTTACACCATGAAAACAAAAGCAATAATTTTGCATGGTACATCTGTTGAAAACAAAAGCAATCATTTTGCATTGTATTCAAGAGCATTTACGAAAAGAGCCCTTATCACATGAGAACAACGGATGAAACCAATGAGTGGTTTAATTCTTTGTGTACCTATGTGCCTAATATATGCAGTTATTGCAGTCCTTCCAGTTTTCTCAAATTAACTTCCAATCTTATACACAATTTTAAATTGGCAAGCTATTATTTGACCTGTTTGTAAGAATAATTGAATAAAGGTTGAATTCTGATTGACCCCAAGTATCCCAATTTGAAGTTTTTGGCCTGCTATTACGACAAGCAATTTCAGCCCCACCAATTGATCCCCTTTCCCAATTTCTGGGTTTAAAAGCATGTGTTATATTTATACACATGCTGACGAGCACTAATGCGACATTGCGACTAAGGGACTTGAATGGAGAAAAAACCACAGAGACATGAGCATCCCTATCGTTTTCTCCTTGAAATTGTGGGGGAGGGGGGCTTGCATCCAAGGGACCAAACTGCTATTTTCAAAAGTGGAGGCCAACACCACTATATTGGGATATCTAAGGGATCAAAAGTAGAACTCTGCATTTTAATAACATACGGATGGCACGAGAGAAACACAAAAAAGAAAACTCACCTCTATTGCATGGGCTGTACTCCTCCGCTCCATCAAGCTTCGCTTGGATGGATTAGCTCGATGTGGGCTGCAATTGTTATTCAGATTTCCCCCATGTGTTGCAACAACACCACCAGTGCTTCCACCCACAGGACAAGTGGCATTATCAGGATTTTCTTGTATGTGTGGATTGCCTGAATTTCCCCTAGCCATATCACACATAATGGTTGCAGCGATGAGTAGAGCATCTTGCAGTGGATCCTTAACCGCAGCATGCAACTCCATGGAACTTTTTTCAAGTTCTTTTTGTGCATTACTGACCTTTGGAGTATCTGGCAAGCCGCACTGTCTGTTTGATGCTTCAACTCTTGGGTCATCCATATCAGCAATCTTAGCTCCTCTGGATGTCCCGCCCAGGGTTGCTCTAGTGCGCTTACATGCAACATGCTTCTGCTTAGTCGCCGGTTTTCCATTTAGAAACTCTATACCAAAAAGAAAATCGTTTCGTAGTGTGAGCAATTATTATTTTAAAGCCAGGTAAGATGTACTCCATATCTTTTAAATCTAGTTTCAGGTGTTTGTAAGCATACTATGACAAAAATAATTGTATTTTAAAATCAAGATGATAGTAATATTAATATGTAACATTTTTTATGGGGGAGGGTAATGTTGGAAATCGGAAAATGATCAATTGATGGTATCTTACTATTTTAATATGATCATTACTTGAGAACAAAATGCAGTAAAAGAAACAGCTAAAGATAACAAAGAAAGTACTCGGCAATACTGTAAATCTTTTTATCGGAAGAAAAAGGAGGAAAACAAGACCTATGAAAAATCAAAAAATCAATTAAACAAGGCATGAAACTATGAGCATCTCAAAGCCAGAAATGGGTACACTACAATTACTAGAAAACATCAGCATTGATAATAATGCAAATTTTAACCTACAGAAAAAAGTAAAAAGGGTACAAAAAGCTCGTGGAAACAATTATAGGGGCACCGTCTCACCACTAATTGAGAAATGGGACGAGAATATAAAATTTACTACCTTTATCAATATTTTGGTGTGTCTTTGCCTGGCCAGAACTTGGCAAAGATACGACCTTCCCCGTACATTGGCTCTGATCTTTTCTGTTCTCTGATATAAGAGACTCTCTTAAATCATCGTCTCTCCTGAGCGTCGCGGCCACAAATTCAAGAAATGAAGGCCCCATTTTCTCCCTTGTTTCTTTAACAAACGCTTTCACAGTCCCGGCGGCATCAACCCCTTCATTCATTCTTATCACATTCTCACAGCTGTCTTCCCACACAGCTGCCTCGATTTGCTCCCTCCAATTCGACAAATCCTCAGAGACAAGACCTACATTTTCCCATTTCTCCATTCTGCAGATCCTCTTCCTCCATAATCTTTTCACGGCACTAAAGTACTCGCCTTTATCACGTTTCTCCCCGCCTTTCTTCAAAAACCTCACAGTGCAATCGACTGCCACAGCGCAATAAGCAGCTTTTAACGCTTCAGAAGCCTCAATTCCTTCTCGAAAATCCAGCTCTTCAAACTTCTCGAGGAGACCGACGATTTTCTCGGAAACAGAACCATTTGAAACCTCCGACTCGATTTCTCTAAGGAGGATAGACTTCGCGAGACCCGGGTTGTTGTCCGGAGGAGGGAGGACCCGAATAAGAGCCGCCAACGTTGCATCGTCGAGAGGCTTTCGGAGGATGAATTCAAGAATCCACCGGGAGATGTCGTGGCCGATATCCATGAATTTTGAGGGATTGAAGAAAACCCTAAAATTGGATTTCTGTTTTGAAGTCTTGGAAAACACTAAGGTCTCCTCAATTTTTAGCATAAATTTCAAAAATGGTTCATCAACTTTTAGGAAAAAACTTTCACGAAAATTTTGATTTCTTACCTAAACTTTACAATCTTTCAAAAAAATCTATTAACTTTAAAAACTTTTCACAAATGATACCTGAAGCCGATTTTCAGATAACCAATAGGTCATTTGGGCCAAATTATAATTTTTTATATTTTTATAATTTTTAAATTGACTTCATTTTTTTTGTTTCTTTTCCCTCCACCACCACTTCTTTGTCTTCTTCTTCTTTCATCTCTTTTCTTCTTCTTCTTTCACCCTATTTTATTCTTCTTCTTCAAAGCTCCCCTCACCCCACCCCTACCCCCTCCC